CTGTTGGCCTGATGTATTGTTCCCACTGGCCTGATGTCTTGTTCCTGTTGGCCTGATGTCTTGTTCCCACCGGCCTGATGTCTTGTTCCCACTGGCCTGATGTCTTGTTCCCACTGGCCTGATGTCTTGTTCCTGTTGGCCTGATGTCTTGTTCCTGTTGGCCTGATGTCTTGTTCCCACTGGCCTGATGTCTTGTTCCTGTTGGCCTGATGTCTTGTTCCTGTTGGCCTGATGTCTTGTTCCCACTGGCCTGATGTCTTGTTCCCACTGGCCTGATGTCTTGTTCCCACTGGTCTGATGTCTTGCTCCTGTTGGCCTGATGTCTTGTTCCCACTGGTCTGATGTCTTGTTCCTGTTGGCCTGATGTCTTGTTCCCACTGGTCTGATGTCTTGCTCCTGTTGGCCTGATGTCTTGTTCCTGTTGACCTGATGTCTTGTTCCTGTTGGCCTGATGTCTTGTTCCTGTTGACCTGATGTCTTGTTCCCACTGGCCTGATGTCTTGTTCCTGTTGGCCTGATGGCTTGTTCCCACTGGCCTGATGTCTTGTTCCTGTTGGCCTGATGTCTTGTTCCTGTTGGCCTGATGTCTTGTTCCTGTTGGCCTGATGTCTTGTTCCCACTGGCCTGATGTCTTGTTCCCACTGGCCTGATGTCTTGTTCCCACTGGCCTGATGTCTTGTTCCTATTGGCCTGATGTCTTGTTCCTGTTGGCCTGATGTCTTGTTCCTGTTGGCCTGATGTCTTGTTCCCACTGGTCTGATGTCTTGCTCCTGTTGGCCTGATGTCTTGCTCCTGTTGGCCTGATGTCTTGTTCCCACTGGCCTGATGTCTTGTTCCCGTTGGCCTGATGTCTTGTTCCTGTTGGCCTGATGTCTTGTTCCTGTTGGCCTGATGTCTTGTTCCCACTGGTCTGATATCTTGCTCCTGTTGGCCTGATGTCTTGTTCCCACTGGCCTGATGTCTTGTTCCTGTTGGCCTGATGTCTTGTTCCTGTTGGCCTGATGTCTTGTTCCTGTTGGCCTGATGTCTTGTTCCTGTTGGCCTGATGTCTTGTTCCCACTGGCCTGATGTCTTGTTCCTGTTGGCCTGATGTCTTGTTCCTGTTGGCCTGATGTCTTGTTCCCGTTGGCCTGATGTCTTGTTCCTGTTGGCCTGATGTCTTGTTCCTGTTGGCCTGATGTCTTGTTCCCACTGGCCTGATGTCTTGTTCCCACTGGCCTGATGTCTTGTTCCTGTTGGCCTGATGTCTTGTTCCCACTGGCCTGATGTCTTGTTCCCACTGGTCTGATGTCTTGCTCCTGTTGGCCTGATGTCTTGTTCCCACTGGCCTGATGTCTTGTTCCTGTTGGCCTGATGTCTTGTTCCCACTGGCCTGATGTCTTGTTCCCACTGGCCTGATGTCTTGTTCCTGTTGGCCTGATGTCTTGTTCCTGTTGGCCTGATGTCTTGTTCCCACTGGTCTGATGTCTTGTTCCTGTTGGCATGATGTCTTGTTCCTGTTGGCCTGATGTCTTGTTCCCACTGGCCTGATGTCTTGTTCCCACTGGCCTGATGTCTTGTTCCCACTGGTCTGATGTCTTGTTCCTGTTGGCCTGATGTCTTGTTCCCACTGGCCTGATGTCTTGTTCCTGTTGGCCTGATGTCTTGTTCCTGTTGGCCTGATGTCTTGTTCCTGTTGGCATGATGTCTTGTTCCCACTGGCCTGATGTCTTGTTCCCACTGGCCTGATGTCTTGTTCCCACTGGCCTGATGTCTTGTTCCCACTTGTCTGATGTCTTGTTCCTGTTGGCCTGATGTCTTGTTCCCACTGGCCTGATGTCTTGTTCCTGTTGGCCTGATGTCTTGTTCCTGTTGGCCTGATGTCTTGTTCCCACTGGCCTGATGTCTTGTTCCCACTGGCCTGATGTCTTGTTCCCACTGGTCTGATGTCTTGTTCCTGTTGGCCTGATGTCTTGTTCCTGTTGGTCTGATGTCTTGTTCCTGTTGGCCTGATGTCTTGTTCCCACTGGCCTGATGTCTTGTTCCCACTGGCCTGATGTCTTGTTCCCACTGGCCTGATGTCTTGTTCCTGTTGGCCTGATGTCTTGTTCCCACTGGCCTGATGTCTTGTTCCCACTGGCCTGATGTCTTGTTCCCACTGGCCTGATGTCTTGTTCCTGTTGGCCTGATGTCTTGTTCCTGTTGGCCTGATGTCTTGTTCCTGTTGGCCTGATGTCTTGTTCCCACTGGCCTGATGTCTTGTTCCCACTGGCCTGATGTCTTGTTCCCACTGGCCTGATGTCTTGTTCCTGTTGGCCTGATGTCTTGTTCCCACTGGCCTGATGTCTTGTTCCCACTGGCCTGATGTATTGTTCCCACTGGCCTGATGTCTTGTTCCCACTGGCCTGATGTCTTGTTCCCACTGGCCTGATGTCTTGTTCCCACTGGCCTGATGTCTTGTTCCTGTTGGCCTGATGTCTTGTTCCTGTTGGCCTGATGTCTTGTTCCCACTGGCCTGATGTCTTGTTCCTGTTGGCCTGATGTCTTGTTCCTGTTGGCCTGATGTCTTGTTCCCACTGGCCTGATGTCTTGTTCCCACTGGCCTGATGTCTTGTTCCCACTGGCCTGATGTCTTGTTCCTGTTGGCCTGATGTCTTGTTCCCGTTGGCCTGATGTCTTGTTCCCACTGGCCTGATGTCTTGTTCCTGTTGGCCTGATGTCTTGTTCCTGTTGGCCTGATGTCTTGTTCCCACTGGCCTGATGTCTTGTTCCTGTTGGCCTGATGTCTTGTTCCCACTGGCCTGATGTCTTGTTCCCACTGGCCTGATGTCTTGTTCCCACTGGCCTGATGTCTTGTTCCTGTTGGCCTGATGTCTTGTTCCCACTGGCCTGATGTCTTGTTCCTGTTGGCCTGATGTCTTGTTCCCACTGGCCTGATGTCTTGTTCCCACTGGCCTGATGTATTGTTCCCACTGGCCTGATGTCTTGTTCCCACTGGCCTGATGTCTTGTTCCCACTGGCCTGATGTCTTGTTCCCACTGGCCTGATGTCTTGTTCCTGTTGGCCTGATGTCTTGTTCCTGTTGGCCTGATGTCTTGTTCCCACTGGCCTGATGTCTTGTTCCTGTTGGCCTGATGTCTTGTTCCTGTTGGCCTGATGTCTTGTTCCCACTGGCCTGATGTCTTGTTCCCACTGGCCTGATGTCTTGTTCCCACTGGCCTGATGTCTTGTTCCTGTTGGCCTGATGTCTTGTTCCCGTTGGCCTGATGTCTTGTTCCCACTGGCCTGATGTCTTGTTCCTGTTGGCCTGATGTCTTGTTCCTGTTGGCCTGATGTCTTGTTCCCACTGGCCTGATGTCTTGTTCCTGTTGGCCTGATGTCTTGTTCCCACTGGCCTGATGTCTTGTTCCCACTGGCCTGATGTCTTGTTCCTGTTGGCCTGATGTCTTGTTCCCACTGGCCTGATGTCTTGTTCCTGTTGGCCTGATGTCTTGTTCCCACTGGCCTGATGTCTTGTTCCTGTTGGCCTGATGTCTTGTTCCCACTGGCCTGATGTCTTGTTCCCACTGGCCTGATGTCTTGTTCCCACTGGCCTGATGTCTTGTTCCCACTGGCCTGATGTCTTGTTCCTGTTGGCCTGATGTCTTGTTCCTGTTGGCCTGATGTCTTGTTCCTGTTGGCCTGATGTCTTGTTCCTGTTGGCCTGATGTCTTGTTCCCACTGGTCTGATGTCTTGTTCCCACTGGCCTGATGTCTTGTTCCTGTTGGCCTGATGTCTTGCTCCTGTTGACTTGAGGTCTTGTTCCTGGTAGCCAGATATCCTGTTCCCCAACACCCTGTCCCCGTCGCCTGTCCTGTCGCTGTATGTCTGACTAAATTGTTTTAGGCACTACAACTTGTTCTGTACAATACAATAGGTTATCGATATTGCAGGATAAATATGTGTGAATGTTACAAGATAACTAATATTTACATATTTACAAGCAATCCAGTATTACTACACGGTCATATTTTCCCAAAGGCATCAATCTTTATATCTTAGACGATGTTGCAAAATGTATTCTCAAATACAGTATTTCTGACAAATGCTAAACTCGTTCTGTCTGCATGCCTTCAAACTAAATTATCTGCCCCTAATAGAAACCCGGCTCTACGATTTGTAAACATTTAGCTTTGTAAACATTTAGCGTGACCACAGCTCACCAGACAATGTGGGGTGGGGGTGGTAGTGATAGTGATAGAGAGAAAGAGAGGCGCTTGCAGCTTGTTTTCTAACGGCTCCCAGAAGAGAATTATATATATAGATGTTAAAATAAGATGAATTCCAAAGTTTTGCAGCTGTACAATAAAGAATGCAAAACATGATCTACTATTACAATCCCTGTGTAGGATGTAATACTTGCTTAAAAAGTAGCCAGTTGACAAGCAGGAAATGTTTTAGGTTTTTCTTTGTCTCAGTTTTTACAATCTTCAACTGGAATAGTCTGTAGCTATGTACAAGCCAATTTCCCAATCTCCCAATCTCAAACTTTTTGGCCAAAATGTTTTGGTTGATCGCCTTTAATTTTGGCTTATGCTGCCTGTATGAGTTGCCAACTTGGTGATAAAACTCTGACTGACACTCCAAAATTTACTAAATTAAAATATCATTTAAAGTGGTGTAGGCAATACCTTTTCTGTGTAGTTTACATTATTCAGACAAATAATAATAAATTTCTCAAAATAAAAACAACGAAAACTCAAGTAATACATTTAGGACATGTGGTTGTAACATTAAACCTTAGTCATCATTTTTAATTATAGATCTCACTTTACAGTAGGCAAACAGTTCTAACAGTTTTTATGTCACTTCCTAAGATAATTAAATTTATTTAAAACCCATATTCCACTTAAAACACATTTTTGTCAGACTTCACTTTTTTTTAATCAGCTGTGCTATAACACATTTTCTTGGTGTCAATCTACATTGTAGTCTTTAGCTCTAATTGATTTCCTTATTAAATTGTTAAAATTGCTTACAGAGAATGGATGCAAATGGTGTTGCTTTGATAGCTCGGACCCAAAGAACCCTGGGATGTGCGAACCTTATTCAGAGGATTTCAGAGAAGATGGAAGCCCATGCAATGCCGGGTTTTGCGAGGTAGTTGTTGTTGCATATCTGGCTATTGTGAGATCATGCTACAATTTCTAATACAAAAGCTAAGTCAAAATCCATATACAAATTCCTTTATCAACTTAGGCTAACTCTAAAGTTTAAAAAAAAAGGTTTTTGTACAAATATATTTTTATGCACAGGGTTCAGATATCTAGCCTGTTACTGTAGTTTAGTTGGGGTACCCTTTTAGTAGCTGCAAAATAATATTAATAATGTACATTTATAAATGTGGCTGTACACTTTTTTCTGCTCCAAAGTTATGTTTGTGAAAAGCTATGTTCATTATTTAACCCTAACTTTCAGCAAGGTATTTGCATCCCCTCACAATCTTCAACCATAAACCGGGTGTATGATTTTTTATATTCTCAAAGCCCAGTTAAAATCAGTAAGTGAGATGGTTCTTTGTTATAATTGTTTGATTGAGGATCATTTGCTATAATTTATTAGCAATTCCAAAGTTGAAATTTTGTGTTTTCAATGGTATTTGTGAAGAGGTGGAAACTTGCTGGCTAATACCACAATGGCATTTGCCCAGTCTAGTTGGTTGAACAAAAGAATGTTCTGTTCCATTTGTCCCTGAGTAGCCTTTCACGTTTAAGTTTGAATTTAGAGCTTAGACATTTCATATTCTAAAAATTGGGCTCATACAATTTTAAAGTGCTGCAATATAATTATTACAACTAAAAACCTACGTCCACCTGACAGTCTATGGGGCAAGTGAAGTAAAGTTTACTAGTTTTTGTGACCTCAGCAAATGAAAGGATAGTGTGGACAGCACTGTGCCCAGCCACTTTTACTCTCCCTATTGTGAGTTAGGTACCCATCAGAACTGGGTGGACTCAGGGACAGTCTACTGACTTGAACCCGGATTCAAATTTGCAACTTTCGGGTTAGCCATCTAGCTCTCTACTGCAAGGCCACTCCACCCCATTTCAGTAATTCCCTATATCTAATACAGTTGCCAGTCAGCATGACCTGTTTGTTTACTTTACCATGTTTAAAAATGTGTATTGTTTTTTTATTTTCGTTGAGTTACCAAACTACAAATCATTCCAATCAATAGAAAAGTACAACAGATTAGCAATCATAATTTTCTTATGCTTAAATAACACTGAAAATTTTAATAGACTCTATTTTCAAAGCCATTTTTCCATCAGTAATTGTTTCTATTTTTAAAGCTTAAACTTTAAAAGGATATTTAACTTAAAGTTTTAAAAATATTAATTAATATTTAATTAACATTTTTAAAACTTTAATATTTAATTAATTAACAAAATGTGTTAGCATACTTTAAATTAAATAGTTAGAGCCGCTTAAAAATGGTATACAAATAAAAATCAACTGCAGCAAGTAAAAATGTGAAGCTTTCATATGTGCAGATACGATTATTATTGCTTTATGAAGACTTAATCAAAGCATGATCAAATAAAATCAAAATCATAAAATATGTGATAATGACAAATTCTGCTCTTGTTGTTGTTAGAAGTTAGTTGAAAGCTTTTGTAGATATAGATTTAGACAAAATTACTATTTAAACAAAAATAAGGAAATTGATACATTTTTAAGTGCAAACAAATATTTCTAATTTATTTATACTTTTAGATTACATAAATATAAATAATCTATATATATAATTCTCTTCTTCGAGCCGTTAGAAAACAAGCTGCAAACGCTCTCCCTACCTCCCCACCCCTACATGGTTTTAGTGAGCTGTGTTCACTCTAAATGTTTACAAGCAGAGCCAACGATTTTAAACGTAGGGGGGGGGGGAGGAAAGGGGGGGGGGGGTTATGGTCCTTAACGAGCTACTTATAGTGTTTTAAAGAAATATTTTCAGTGTCAGCGTTGGTACTGTCGAATTCACAAATTATGAATTATTGAAAATTAGAAACAACTAAATAGCGGCGTATGTTATGCCGCGGGCCGGCTCGTAATTAATAATTAGTAAAAACAAACAAGTAACAACTAAGTACATTTAAAATATCAAGTCACACTGTACTAACCACTCACAAAAATACAATCCATTAAAATCCAAAGTTAACTAAAACGTATAGATTCCGTAACAATTTTTATATGTAACACAATACACCGATTCATTATAGTTGATTGTATCATAATCATAATACTCAACTTCAGCAGCAAGTTCTGTTTTATTTTTACATTAATAAATCATCACCTAGTATTTCCTTATAATATTTAATTATGATATTAATTAAATTATAATTTCAAGAAATAATACTCAAAATATGTATTCAGGATTTTGAAAAATTGGGTATGAACAAAAATTATTAGTTGTACCATATTATAAAACTAAGTTTTCTTCACTGTGAACATTAACCCTTTTACCTTTTTTTTTAAATTGTTTAATTAAAGAAACATGCTTAGTTTTAAATGTTAACTATAGCGATATTCAAGATTTACTATTTGTATGTATTTTGGAAAGTATTATCTAGAGTTCTTTAATATTTATGAATCAAACCCCTCAGTAATCTTATTCTTTGTACATTTTCAGAGCAATTTGCCAAATCTAATGTTGTAATGACAACCATTCTGGTAGCCTTATTGATATGGTGCCCTGTTGGGTGTTGTATTCGTCGTAGTGTAAGTGATATTTTACCCTTTACCCAAATTCACTTATGATAAATTTAAACTTTTAAAAAAAACTATGAATTGTACCTGAGCCCTGTAAGACCATAATAACACTCTCAATGGTCATCAGTCTGGTTTGCCATCCTGTAACGATGCTCCTAGCATCAGATAATATTTCCTCTATAGTCCATGAAATATAAAGAGATAATGATAGCATTTGCACCACATACTAGCAACAATTCAATTCAGACCAAAATATTAAAAGAACTCAGTCCAAATAAAGCCAAAAAAAACATGGGTATGAAGAACCCTCCATCTCTGCCAAGAGTTGTGTGTGCTAAAAAGTAAGCAATGTTGCTCATACTTATAGAAAACGTGAAGGAAATCAGCTCATGCAATTAATTCTTATGACATGTGAAATAAGTTGATGTAGGTAAAAAAAATGAAGCCTATAGGATTAACACAAGGTACAATATTTGCTTCAACATTCAGAATTAAATTGAATGTATTAAACAATTGAAATGGAATCTTAAACTACTAGATCTAGGTAAAACAGTTATAATTGACACTGACATAAAATTTCTTTTTTTTTTTTGGGGGGGGGGGGGGAACAAGACACTGCATTTAATAAGTTTTGAAGTATAGAAAAGACTAGCTGTAATATTACTAATGCCTTTGTTTTAACTAGAAAATTTGGAATAAAATCAGTAAGCTATTTTAGCCTTCTTTGCTGTAGCAAATTGTATGCAGTGACACTTTTTATTCTTTCGTTTTAGAAGTAAGCATCATGGGCTTAGGCAGATATTATCCATGGGGTGGGTGGGGGTTTCCATTGTGTGTATAATTATATGCTTGTATATGTATGTTGGGAAAAATGATAATGTTAATTCCATTAACATTCTTAACAAAGCCACTGCGTGACAAATAACATTCATGTTTTTATTTCACCATTGTGTCCCCTCTTTTTTTTTTAGGATAAAAAAGAACAAAGAAGAAGAAGTTGGGTTGATGATGTTTATGTTCATCAAATTGGGGTAAGAAATCTAATATTGTATAGCCGATAAATTTATTCAAGCACAATGTCCTTTTCTGTATTGTATAGATATTTCAATTTAATCTCTGTATATAAAATGAAACTATTCAGGTTTGTTTGTGCTATTAAAGTTAGATACAGTTTGGCTCCCAGGAGTTCCCGAGCTGCAATCTTAGCACTTGGGTACTACTTGATTCAGCGGTAAAACTGCACCAGGTGCATCTGCCAGCACCCAGCAGCAGTTAGGTGACCAAGAGTGCATAAACCCCCTAGACCACAATGGCACCTACGTTAATTTTATAAATGGCTATACACTTAGGACACGAAGGGTTACAATAATCGTTGATTAAATCAAACCAGGCGGGTCCTCCAGTGCCCCATCACGGTGCTATTTGGCACTCCAGGCTTCCCCGTGAATACTATGGTGCTACGTTTCTTTTAAAAAAGGTTTAACGCTAAGGACATGGTGGATACTATGTTTGTTTTCTAAATCGAACCAGACGCATCTGCCAGTACCATGGGGGTTGGGTGACCCTGTGAGAATCAAGTTGCCTACTTTAGTTTTAAAACGCACTCATTACATTTGATGACTAAACTGTACCAGGAGATGCACCCAGCGTCCCTGCTGTACTATAACCAATCGCTCCCAAGAGCATTCACAAAGTCCCTGATACATTAACAGTCGCAGAGGTGTGTTGTACCACCCTACTACAGTAGTGATTAACATAATCTTTATGTTTTCATAAAGGGGTGTCTGGGTGGGGGGTGATCAAACCTAAGTTTACCAGTTTGTCTGAATGTTATTTAGCAACAAAGTTTTAGTTGACACATATGCTATTTCATACTTTTGCAGCTGTTCTTTTAATGTGAATATGTCATACTAGTATTTAAAGTTATCACTTCCTTCAATGTCTTGGTTTAAAATTATTAATACATTTTAAAAAGACAGCATTATTATATCTCATAGAAAATGTTTAAGCTAATTTGATGGATTATTATTTATCTAATTTTTGTGAATAAAGCAACCACCACCAAATAAAACGATTACATATCATGGGCCTATCCTTGTTAAGCCAAAATTCAAAACTTCTAGGTAAGTATGTTATTTTTATCGTAGATTTTAGCTGTTTGAAAAATGGCACACAGACCAGATAATGAAGTTTTAAATCTCTGCACTAACCACATTCAAGTAAACATGCATGTTTCAATCAAACAAAGTGATCATTAAAGACTGACATAAACACCACACCAAAGAATTAAAGTTTGACTTTATAAACTTTTTACTAAAAACCTTTTAAAAGGGTAACTGTAATACTTTACTAGGGCTTGTGAAACATAACAGCCACATTAGTTGAGAGATCAGTGTTCAAACAATTGTATTTCTAAATTACATGTTATGTCATACAGAAGATTAAAACTATTGATTTGAAGACATTCTTTTTCAAAAACCATATCAGGTTAAAAATATGTTTAAACTAGAGACCAATAATAGAACACCCAGACAGTAGACTTGATTTGGTAGACACAAAAATTACTGCTAAGCTCAGATTAACCATTATTAAAATTCTGCATTTATTCTCTTATAATCTTTCGCTTAAAACAATTGGGTTTTTTTTTTTTACCTTCTGCATATTCTACCTTAATTCTTTAGTATATCTGATGAGCCCTCTACCAAGACAGGAGCACCTAAGCATATTGAATTTCAGATTGATGATACTTCAGTTTATTAGAATCTGAAGTACAAGGTAGGCCTATGCATGTGTTTAGAAAAGATAGTGGTTACTTTTAGTGAAACTCATTTTGCACAAAGCTATATATTTAATTTGTTTATTTCTATTTGTTCCATGTTTATTTTACACATGTTCTTTTTCTATGTAAAATTTGTATACTTGATATGTGAAAGTTTGTATTGAATTCTCTGTTAAATTTTACTCAGATAGATAGGTTTTTCAATTTTCTTTAGCGTGATATCTTTGAAAATGCACTTTTGAAAACATTATGAAAAGTTTCACTTAAACAGTGTACAAATTAGAAAAGAAAAGTAAACTTTTTTATATTTAGTTATTTGAATTTTTAAAATTCAATACTTTATGATACAAATGCTCACACATTTTTTTTTTTTATTTACCTAATTGTCATTGAACTTCTACTACTACTACTAGTCCTACTGTAATCCTCTGTTGTTTTATTTATTTATTTTTTGTCTTTGAAGGTAACCCAAAGTTTGTTGTAACTAAGGACAACCAATTGCTAGATGTCTTAAAGGAAAAGTACAGCTTGCATAATGAAAGTTGGCTACCAAAAATTGTTGATGAGGATTTTAAACTTTCCCTCTTGAGTTAATACAGTGATGCCATTGTGGGTTCAAAGTTTATTTTAATGAGGTTGTTTATTTTCAGTGGTTTTATTTTTATTTATTTGCAGATCTGAATCTCTGTTTGATTCTTTTTGTTTAAAAAATAGTATTTTTAAAATTTGAAAATGCATTTTCAAAAAAATTGTATTTTATAGTTCTAGAATTGTTACCTGTCATAAGTGCACACACTTTAGTTGTTTTATTTTTGTGCCTAATTGTTGATCTCCTTTAGGCTTCAACCATTCCTACAACCTAGACTGTGTACAAATAGTTCTAATCACAGAACTAATGTTTAAATATGTAAAGGATAGACAAAAAATCATTACACCAGACAGTTTTTTCTCATTGTTGACACCATAAATGATTTTAGAAAATAGAAACTACAACTTTGTTTATATTAACCTTGTTGTTACCTTTGCTTCTATTTATAAATTAAACTGCTTTGTGATGTTAATTTAACATGTTGTTTGGTGCTTATGATATTTCTATTTGAAATTTGATTCAAACTTTGGACTAATAAATTTTATTTTGATCAAAAGAATAAGCATTATTTTTTATTGAGATAATCTGTTTGAATATGACTATTAGAATGGACCATAGTGTAATGAATGAGTTTGAGAGTATGAGTGTAGTGGAATGTGTTTAATAAAGATGTTGAGGGTTTGAGAGTATGTGTGTAGTGTGATTAATAAAAGATTCTGAATGCGTGACAAAAGTAAATGATGTGACGTAGGAGAGTATGTGCTGGTTGTTAGGAGATAGATCTAGTGGAAGTCAATCTTAGTCTTGTTGTGTTAGGAACTAGAAGTCTTCGTCCTGTGTCTGTCGTCTCGATTTAGTTGTGTAAAGTTTATGGAATAAAATATAATAATGAAGAACTCCGCCCTGTCTTATTTCTGTATTGGATCGTCGTACCTTGTCTAAGGCCCATTCACAACACTATTGACTGAATAAAAATAGAAGAAACAAGGCCTAGTGGTCTGATGCAAGTTTACTCTTTTGCTACACAGATTAGGGCTTAGGGTAACATACTTCTTTGTTTTTTACCAGTAAACAAGTATCCCTTAGATAACTGGTCATCTACTATCTATCCACATTAGCGAACTAATACACATGTATAAATTAGGCTAGGCATAATCAGACAAAATAAATTGAATTTCCACATGTCTTAAATTAGGTTTTTTTTTAAAACAAGAAATTATTATAATCAAATGATGGCGCTGGATAGCACACGATGGATTGACTTAAAAAGTCCCCAGGTAGATCTGACTTGTCAGCAACCCATCAAGGAGTAAGCTCCAAAATCGAATAATTCTACCGTCCACTGTTCTTGTGTGGCCAAAGTCTATTGAAGCCACCTTATCCAGAAAGAAAAGCAGGCTGAAGTCATAGTCCACTACTGTTTTAAATAAGAAATTTTGAGTAAAAACTGACTATCCTAACTTTTATGAATGGTTTAGATAGGATTTTATAATAGCTAATTTGTGGATGTGCTTCGAAAGGGGAGGGGCAGTACCTAAAAGAAACTCTGGTCAACTTTATTTAAAACGAATTACTAAAAAGTGGAAAATAAAACAAAACAAAAAAATTTAAAAATTCATGAGAAATTCAGAATTTAAATTACAAGTCCACCTCGATCGACTTTCTGTGACATATCGCCGGTTCCAAGAACAGTGTTTCTTTCTTTTTATCCCGGGGGGGGGGGGGGCGGACGCTAGTAAAAGTATGTTTACTACATAAATTCCATCTCGTTCGGCACAGCTTCCCCCCCCCCCCCCCCGAAGAGATGCCTGGAAGATACTCTGATAAAGAATTAAGGAGAGTTGGGCGTAGGGTGGACGGGAACAGGCCATTACCCCCCCCCCCCCGGAGTAAATACCCCCCGTCAATTACCCCCTGTCATTTACCCCCCCCCCCCCGGACACGGTTAGGGCTAGGTTTATGGTTATGGCTAGGGTTAGGCTTAAACCAATGTCTAGCGTTGGTTTTGTGTTAAGTTTTAAGCTGAATGGATGCTTAGGTTTTGGTCTTTTTCTTAATGTTAGGATTAATGTAATATATAAGTATAGAATTTGAGTTAGAGTTAGGATTCTAACATGAGGGGCGGGGGTTAATTTCTCCAGGGGTGTAATTGACAAGGGGTAATTGCTCCGGGGGGTAAATACGGGGGGGGGGGGGGATAATTGAGGGTGTTAATGTCCTGTAGCCAGGGTTGACAACCCTAACCCCATGAAACTACAACCTGCTACATAAAACGCTCGCATTACCCAAACAAGAGTTTGGGGAGGAAGAAGCCTCTGTAGCAGGCCATATAGCGCTTATGGCTTGTGCTAGAATGACTGATGCAAAACACAGAATTAGGCAGTTGACACTCTGGGTGGGGTTAGAAGTCACATTGTGTTGCTGGGGAACATGTTTTAATTATATAAAAAAAATAATTAATTTAATTAATATTATGTATGTTCACTGATTGCCATAATCTTCTGGTTTAATGTTGATTATTTTGCAGAGGTCTCGAGAAATTATATTTTTATTCTGTGGCGTCAGTAAGGTAGGTGTTACCCGGTGCGGTAACGCAGAGCGTGGCGACGGGGGGCGGGTGGGCACATATGTCCCCGGGCGCCGACCCTAGGGGCGCCAAAGCGGGTTGGAAACAAATTAAAAGGTCGTTTGAGCTGCAGTTTTGAATTATAAATATAAAAAAAATGTATGGGGAGGTGGCGCCAAATTGAAAGTTTGTCGCCGGGCGCCGAGAGTGGTCGCTACGCCTCTGCAGTAACGTATAGTATAGTACTATTATTAGTATAGTACTAATCCAAATACACTAAGTTTTCGTTGCTATATAAAATTGATTTTTTAAATGGCGGCTTCGGGTGCGGTTTTCATCCATGACCATGTCCCTTGTTGTAACTATTCGTACCACAGCCCCATGGAATTTTAGCAAGGAAATGATGTTGATAGTGATATAAAAGGCATCACTACTAATTGATTTCAGTTTAATGAAAATTTGATGGCTAGATTGCACTTCTACAGTAGCTTTGTTACTTTTTGCCCCGTGACTTATTGTGTCAACCTGCTCCAGCACGGGACAAGAAGTAACAACATAAACCAGAGCAAATTTTTCATCTGTATGTCTATCTTAAAAAATTAAAAAGATTAAGTTCATTTTACTTGTTCAATTTATTGTTTAAATGTATGCGTTGCCTCTTCTTCAGTCTTATTAGTATTGATTTACTCTAAATGGGTCAAATATTATTATATTACAAATAGACAGAATTGTGACTCAAAGCCCCGCCTTCACCTACTTCAAGTTGACTGTTTTTATATATCTCTAGATTTATTTTAATATCTAGATCTAGACATAGTGATTTTAAAAATGGTTTAGAAAAAAGACAGCTAAATTAATTGTTTAGCTAAACAAAGTTCCCAAATGTCCTAATAGATCTAGATCTGGCTTCATATTGAGATTCACTTGTCGGTTTTTTTAGTTGCATTGCTACATTTAGACTTACCGCGATGCTAAGCTTTAAAACTTTAAGAAGCGTGGTGTAATAGCAGAAGTGGATTGTACGAGCTGTTGACGACGTTGATTTGGTAGATGATCAGATCTAGATTTAGAATCTAGGTACATTTAAGGTACATTTATCAGTATTTTAAAATAAAAATTAAATATTTAGGAGTCAAAGTTGGATTGACTATAAATTTAAATTTATTAGAGTAGAATTAGAATCTAGAAATCTAGTTTTGTTTGGTAAAGTTTTAGGTACGTAAAATCGCCGGTAATCTATCGTTTTGGGTACGTAAAATCGCCCGCGATTTGTAATGTGAAAAACAGGTGACTCCTTAAATTTTAATAATTATTTCACATTTTGAGGAGGATTTATGTTTTAAAAAATTCAAAAATGTTTCCTTGATTCATTTATGTACCTGTTTTTAAACAATTGAATTAAAACTTTTCCGTAATAAATGAAGACTAGCGATGTTTCCAACAGATGCAACCATGCTCATTTACTATAGCAGCCATCTTGTCTAAGTTTTATTTTTATAAGCTTTTAGCGCCAGATTCAGGGGGAAGCCACTCTATTTTACAAATGGCTGCTGTTTATATAGCAAATCTTGCTCTCAGACACTGCTGTTTAAAGTTAATTTCTGGCCTATAGGGTAAAGGAGGGCGTTAAGAGCCACACTTTTTAGCACCTGTACATTTTTAAAGATTTCTACTAATCTAAGAATTTTTTAGTATTGAAAATATGGCAAAATTAATCTAACATATCTTACACAATATAAAAATAATAACAAATTCTATTAAATATACTTTAAATGGGTTTAATTGAACATTTATTGTCATACCCCCAAAATCAGCATTTGGGGCGAAAGGAGCCGGGCAGTGGGGCAATAAGTATTATCTCCTAGTTTAGACTAACTCTGCAATAAAAATAATTAATTTCTAACCCCAAAATAGTTAATGCTGTGTACACACACTTTAACTGATACTAGCTATCACTAGGCCCCAATGGGCCCAGTCTACAATTGATACATTTGCAGGTGTACATACTACATAGGGCCTAAAGTCTAGTAGTTTACAGTAGGCACATTAGTATGCCTAGTGTGTAGCTAGTATACTAGTGTGTAGCTGTCCAGAGTTAACATTCTTGTATGTAAAAAGGGGTGGTACTAACTAATCTGCCTTAATGCTTTCCACTGATAAGCCATGTGTGCTTTACATAACATTACATGGAGGTGAGAAATGTTGAGGGGAGAGCAGTGGTACTGGTTTCCCCTTTGTTCTCCTTGCTGGACCCTGAGGGCCATAAATTACATAAGGAGATGCTATCTCTGGTTGGCTGAGATCTAAGAACTAAGTCCATGCTACCTACAAAGAGATAAGTTTTATGGTGGGTTAGATACAGGTGGGGGCTGGGTATCATGGGGGTGAGAAATTGTGAGGGGAGAGCAGTGGTACTGGTTTCCCCTTTTTTTCTCCTTGCTGGACCCTGAGGGCCATACATTACATAAGGATATGCTATCTCTGGTTGGCTGAGATCTAAGAACTTAGTCCCTGTTACCTACAAAGAGATGAAGTTTTATGGTGGGTTTGATACAGGTGGGGTCTGGCTATCATGGAGGTGAGAAATTGTGAGGGGAGAGCAGTGGTACTCATTCCTCTTTGGTCTCCACCCTGCTAGACCATGAAGGTCATATATTACATAACATGCCACCCCAGATTGTCTGAGATCTGTAACTGTAATCCATGTTACCTACAAAGAGATGAAGTTTAATGGTGGGCCAGAAACTGGTGGGGGCTGGGTATCATGGGGGTAAGAAATTGTAAGGGGGGAGCAGTGGTATTAATGTGTCTGTTTACTTCCCTGCTGGACCATGAGGGTCATAAATTACATAACATACCACCCCAGATTGGCTGAGACCTAAGAACATTTATTCCTGTTACCTACAAAGAGATTTGAAGTTTTATGGTTGGTTAGAAACAGGTGGGGGCTGAGTCGGCTGTATTGCCCCTTAGGGGTAATAAGTACAAGTACCATTTTAAAAATTACATTGCTAACATCAGATGGCTGAATTTTTACTTTTTAGCAGGTTAGAATTGTATTTCTATCATTTAGACACAAGTCTGTTTAACAATTAATACATTTTGTGTTAACTATTCCTATACCAGTGTCATATTCAGTGGTCTAATAAATGAGAAACTCGCACATAGGGTTTTAAGAGCCACATAACAGTATCTGTTATAACTTTTCTAAACAGGCAAGCTAGTGGACAAAATTAATGTATTCATGTAGATTTAGTTATTATCTAACAAATAAAACCATTATGGTAATGATCAGTCAAGTTTTACTCTGATAATGATAAAAACTTTATAGCATGGTAAAATGGGACAAATGTCGGCCATTTTGTTTTGGCACCAATAATCACTGTGCAAAAAAAATTCACCAAAATAAAACTATTCTAGCCATAGCTATAAAAATAGTGTTAAAATGTACAACAACCAATGCTCTAATATAGGAACAAAGAATGGGCTTGAAAAACTTATTTGGTTTATTACAAAGTGAAGTTTCCCAAGATATGTCTATTTGGAAAAAAAGTTCACAAAATGGTTTTATGGAGATGAGAAATTTTAGGGAAAGAGCAGTGGGATTAAATCCTGTCTCATCCTCTCCCTATTGGACCAAGTGGGTCATAAATTACATAAAATGAATCCTCTGTTTCTCTGTTATCAAAGAACAGCAGTGGTTGTTACCTCACTAGTAGATTAGCAGTGTAATTGGGGGTTTTGTGGGGGTGGGGTGTTGATTGGGGCTTAATACCACACGGCTCTTAACGCCCTCCTTTACCCTATCGATATATTTAGCCATTGATTTGGGTTTATTATTCATTTATCTATAATATTTGACACAAAAGTATGACAATATACTTCTATTACAGCCTTGACAATGAGGTAACGTTTTCGTACATAAATAGCCGCGGGCGATTTTACGTACCCAAAACGATAGATTACCATCGCCCGCGACTAGTAATGTGAAAAACAGGTGACTCCTTACATTTTAATAATTATTTCACATTTTGAGGAGGATTTATGTTTTGAAAAATACAAAAATGTTTCCTTGTTTCATTCATGTACCTGTTTTTAAACAATTGAATTAAAACTTTTCAGTAATAAATGAACACCAGCGATGTTTCCAACAGATGCAACCATGCTCATTTACTATAGCAGCCATCTTGTTAAAGTTTTATTTTTATAGACATATAGCGCAAGATTCAGGCGGAAGTCACTCTATTTTACAAATGGCTGCTGTTTATATAGGAAATCTTGCTTGCAGACACTGCTGTTTAAAGTTAATTTCTGGCCTATATTGATATATTTAGCCATTGATTTAGGTTTATTATTCATTTATCTATAATATTTGACACAAACATATGACAAAATACTTCTATTACAGCCTTGACAATGAGGTAACGTTTTCATACATTAATAGCCGCGGGCGATTTTACGTACCCAAAACGATAGATTACCTTTTGTTTTTATTGTTTTGACTCATTTCATTATCAATATGGCAGGAAACAGATTCAACTCTCAAACATCTACTTTTAGGGTCGATTTTCGCCAATTTTCAAAGTAACAAATATTGACATATTATATATCAATTTTGTTGCTTAACAATCGAGGAAATCAAAAATATAAAAATTAATAGCACTAGACATTTACATCACGTTCAAAATTTAGATTAACCACACTCACTCAAATGACATTTTTTTTACATCTATGTAGATCTAGTAAGGTCTAAAATCCACGAAATTCACAAAATTAACAATATAATTACACAGAAATGTCACTTAGGCATAAATTTATTTGTAATTATGTCAAACTTTACAAAATATACCAGTTTATAGCTTTTTTCTATAATTATTCTTGAAAAAAAAACCGACCGCTATCCCCTTTAAAAAATGTTCAAAATTCTGGCTTTTAAAAACACTCTGGGGAAGAAAAAAATAACAGAGTTAAATATAGAAGGTCTATATAAAAAATATTATTAGTAAAATATGTCTTTATGCCAATTTTTATTATAGTTGCAGCATTTACATGGCTAATTATAATTGTTTAGTACTTTATAAATTAATTTAAAGTTACGACTGTCTGTGGCCTCATTCAAATAGTGTGGTGTCAGTGAACAGGGTGTTAATTAGGGCCTGATACGATTTCATTAGAATTGGTAATGAACAGAATGTATCATTAGAACTGGCCTATAAAAACAATGTTGATGATAGATGCAGTAGTTTTAATGCTACTTATAATAGATCAAAATGACAAACATAATTAAAACCTAAGAATCTGGAAGCGGTGACCTCATTTTACTGACACGTTTGTCAAATAGTTAGTAAAATCGATCTAGATCTAGAATCTACGTAATTTTGAAAATACGCTAGATCTAGAAGCAAAATCACTTTTAAAAACTAAAGTTAGTGATTAGTTCTGTAATGAAATTGAAATCCACAGCTAATATGTAAGTATCTTTTGATTTAAAAAAAAATACGCGTAGTTCTAAGAAAAAAAATTTCTACGGTGTACTCGATCCCTATCCCAAAACGTACCAGCCATATCGCATGCGTATTCAGCTACTCAGCTGCTTATCAAATCTTCGAATTTTAAATTTATATAATAAAAGTAGGTCACCCTACAAAAAAGAGTACAATGGCTCCCGTTTTCACGACAGCCGTCACTCGATTCATAATTTACAGAGTTATAAAGTTCTACTTTCTTTTGGCTATAGATTTGAAGAAATTTAAATTTGTTATTTCTCATGTGTTCCAACACTTGTACCTAATTTTAATAAACATTAGATTAGTAAGGACTCGATTCTTTTTAGGATTAGCCCTCGACACTATACAGACTATTGCGAAGAAACAGACTCGCGCGAATGTCGTGCGTAAGCTGGTTCAGTGGGCGAAGATTAGAACCCAATCAGACGGAAAATTTTTACTTTGAAATAATTACATTATCAATTAATTTCGATTTAAAACAAATGGCTTAAAGTCAAAAGTGAACTAAAATTTAAAAACTTTGTTATTCGCAGTGTACTCGAGATTCTCGTGTTTTAAAGATAAGTCTAGTTTTACTACGTGTGCGTGCATGGTGCGAATACCGATTTTCCGCGACAGAAAATCATTAAAAATAAAAAAAAAAGTATCTACGGCAAAATAATAATTATATTTTACAGAATTAAATAGATTTAACTTAACTGTTATTTAAATACATGCTTCGGAGTAAAAAAAATACAATTTTATATCCGTAAAAAATTAACTGAAATTCCCGCTTTCAGCGACGCCGATGTGTCGTAATTTTCGGCAGTCATTTTGTTCAAATTAAAGAAAAAACGCATTCAAATATACTTTTTTTTACTTTCATAATTTACAGCAATCATTTCTAATGGAAAATCCATAAAAAAATAATAGTTATTTTTACAAAATATTATTTCTTACCTTATTAGTGCAGTACACGTACTTTCCAAGTAGATCCATTCCGTCTAGATTTGCATACTTCGCATCCTTCGCCGCGGCACAAAATGTCATAAAAAACGAATTCCACAAAAATGTTGCTAACGAAGCTTGTAAAAACCTTGCTCTATTTATTAGTATAAACAAAATCCCCCAACGATGTCTGGTTAGAAAGTTTATGAACGGCGAAGACCGAATATGCATTTTGCGGTACCAATCTGTTTCCTGCCATATCATGTCATTTGGAGTGACACAGATGTCGATGAGAGGCCGTCACATTGGTTTTTTTTTTTTTGAGATACCCAACCTAAGTTTAATTTAACTTAAACCAAACCTCCTTATTATTATTATTTTGTGTTTATATTTAACTCATTGCAACAATCCTGCATGTTGGTTTAGAGTTTAGGAATTTACAGGCTGGGGAGACGTTTTGCTAGGGATTGCAGTGTCCTTTTGATTTGAATTCAACATGCACTGCAGCAGGATTTCAAGGCCTACTGACTTACTGTTCTTGTTTCTAGATCTAAATCTAGATCTATAACAATAACTGCTTGACACGAACAAAAAATAAAGTAATAGATTCTACTCCACAACCATAAATTTAACTGTAGGCCTAATGACATTTGTTATTTTCTATTCATAAGCTTAGAAACAAAAATATTCTTATTCTTTTTAGTCATGTCTACCTGCACGCAATTTTAAAGGGTTTTTTTTTTTCGAAATTTGCAAGCTTGTTTGCATATGGAGCCTATTTTATTTGTTCATTATGCAAATACAGCCTATACTATAGATACTGTGTTATTGTATGTTTGAATAAGATAGCCTACTTAAAATGTTGTTCCCATGCTACTACAGTCCGTCACATTCAGCCGCTGTCTTACATGTCACATTACTTGCCTCTAAAGCCTGTGAGATCACATCTCGCACCTTGAGACAAATTTGTCTGGCATTCCCCCTCCTTGCAGAATAAAGTAATGTTACTAATAGATTCTAGATCTAGGCCTAATTGACATCAAAAACTGAATATTTATTTAATAAACTTTTTTTTCTGTGAACACCACTTTTTTTACATTAACCTTGACATTTATGCTTAGCTATATAGGCTATATCTACAAGCTATTTTTTTGCTAAGCATTGATTGGTTCAAGTTTTACTACTAACCCAAAAGGACTTGCCAGTAAAGTCTAAAGTGTTCATAAACAATTGTTGAGAAATTTAATAGCTTAAGAATCAATATTATAAATGTTGCATGTGCAGTAAACTTAAGTGTTTTTTTGTTTTTTTTTTTTTCATCCTCAAAACTTTACTAGCCCAATTTCCTATCTTCCAGTTGAACAAAATGACAGATGTCAATACTAATGGTGATGGTGGTGATGCTGTTCCAAAAGTCCTTGCAGAAAAGATCATCAAGCAAATTGAGGTAAACTTGGTTAAACTGACTGAAGCTTGTTGAGTAAGCAAAATCTACTAACTTAAATTTTAATAGCTATTTCATTATTTTTTTAGTACTACTTTGGTGATGTGAATCTCATGAAAGACAAGTTTCTCAAAGAAAAAGTCCAAGAAGATGATGGTTGTATCCTTTCGAGGCATTTTATATGTCTGGCAGATTTTTGTGTGGTTCATTAATATGGAAATGATGTTCAAATGATTGTTTGCTTTTTTGTTGTTTTTTCTTAACCAAGTATTTCAGGGGTTACTATCAAGACACTCTTGACATTTAATCGTCTTAAACAACTTACAGAGGATCCAAAAGTCATTTTTGAAGCTCTGAAAAAGTCAACAAATCAGATTGTGGAGGTATTTATGCTTAATCCTCTGCTACCCAGGCATTCAAAGCATTTAAAAGTTAAAGCAAAATGCAGTTAATTGAAAAATAATCTTAAGTTCAGTACTTAAATTGTCTATATTATTTTTAAAATGTATTACATGTTTGTAGAAAATTAATAACATTTTTTTTTCTGGCTTCTTTCAAAATCTTGATACAAGCAAAAGTGTAAGGAAAATAAATAAATGTTGTAAATAATACATGTGTTTAAATTGTTATACTTGTGCTATTACTAATATTGCCCGATTTAAACATTTTACTATGTTAAAATCCAGGTGAATGAAGAAGGTGAAAAAATTCGCAGGAACCCATCAAAACCTTTACCAGGTGATACTAAAGAGAGACGTGATGAAATAACAGCAAGATCAATTTATGCTGTAAGTGGCATTACATATTACCACTGATATATTTCCATGGTTACTTTTCCATAGGTACTCTTATACTTGATTAAAACTGTCAATTGTATGTTTCAGAAAACATTTCCATTGGATGTTCAACTTGATGATCTAATGGTGTTTTTTGAGAAATATGGATCAGTTGAGAATATTTTCATGAAGAAGGACTTCCATAAAAAGACATTCAAAGGATCAGTATTTGTTCTATTTCACAATAAGGATGATGCTGAGAAATTTATTGCAGAAGAAAACACAAAATATAATGACACTGAAATTCTTGTCAAAATGTTTAAGTAAGTGTTGTATAAAAGATATTGTTTGTGGTATTATTCTGTATGAGTCTTTTTTTTTTTTTTTTTTTTTTTTTTTTTTTTTGCTCAGTCTATTTTGGTGCCTTTACCTTTGATTGTCTCTAGTTATCTTAGTTGACAGGTGTATGAAGTGGCTAATACATTGTTTATCTCATCTCAGGGCTGATTATTTTAAAGAGAAAGGCAGGAAAGGCAAAGGAAAGAAAGATGGTGATAATGCACAAAAAGGGTTGGTTATACTTTTGTATAAATTCATTTTTAAACAACCCTGGTTATTGCAAAAAAAGCAATGTTTTTATTAGACTATTTTTAAAAATGTGGTTTTCTTTTTTGTTTTCTGTTGTTTAATAAATGGAGGTTTTTTTTCCTATTTCAGAAAAGAAGAGCTTGAAAAAGAAAAGGAAGAGGAGGAGGAAGAAGTATGTCTTTTTTATTATTATATTCCTCCTGTTGTAATAATTAGTCATTGTTTGACATTAAGGTGCATTTTTTCCTTTGAATTTCAGAAAGCAAAACAACAAATGACCAGGAATGCAGTGTTGCACTTAAAGGGCATGGATCCAGAAACAACTAGAGAAGAGATCAAAAAGTTTTTCTCCCCACATGGAGATGTTGGCTGGGTTGACTTTGACAAAGGAGTCACAGAGGTAAGAATCAGTCAGCAGACTTCATTTTGGTTTGTGTAATTTTTATCAGCTCTAGTGTATATTTTTTTACTTTGTGGGTCGAGTTACCTAGTTCTAAGATTTATATTTGGAAATTGTATTGCCATTTATATCATCAGAATTACACATGTGGTAGAGGTGGGTATACAATTCTTAATTAAGTTTGTTATATACACACTCCTTAAAATGTTAATTTTTGTTTGAAGATTGTCACCAAGTTTCATTGAAATACTGAATATTGAACATAATATAAATAAATCGTGTTGAAAAGAAATAAAATAATTGTCAATTTTTTTTTAAAAATCCTTTCACATTAAGTTTCAGGGTTTAAAATTTTTGGTTTTAGAATCTGTTACATTTTTGGATAGATTTTCAGAATTCTCATAACAATTTAGTGACTTGCCTATATCATTTTCAAGTTTTTTTAATACAAAACCATCTTGCTTACTTGAACTTGTTAATGATCAATTTATCTAGCATTCAAAACATTTATTTTTAAGGGTTACCTTCGACTTAAGGAACCTAATAGTGCTGCTCCAACATTAGAAAAGGCAAAGGCTGCTGGTGAAGGAAAAATTGTTATTCATAATGCTGAACTAGAAGTTAGAGTTGTTGATGGTATGTTAGAAATTATTTCTTGTTGTTAATTTAAATTAAGTATTACTCCATACACAATTATCTTGCTGAAGAGTTTTATGCATGGTTTTATTATATATTTTTTTATGCAGGTGATGAAGAACTAGAGTACTGGAAGAAAATGTTCAAAGACATTGCTGAAAAACAGGACAAGAGAAAGAAGGGGGGTGGTGGTAGAGGAGGCAGAGGTGGTGGAAGAAATCAGAGGGGAGGAAGAAATAATAGAGGAGGACCTCAGGTAATTATTGTTATTCTAAATTTCTTTCTGTGTTATCTATTCATTTTTTAGTTGCTTCCATTTATATTTTTTAAATTTATCTTTGGCAGGGTAAACGAAGACAGAACAGAAAGAATGATGATGAAGAGGATGGTGACGCGGATGGTGACGAAGGTATTTTTACTTTCTTAAAAAATTAATACTTGAGCTATATTTGTAATTACTTAAGAACATTTTCTTTTAATGAACTTTTTCTACAATATTTTTAAAAATGTTAGCCATGTGGAAGAATCAATATTTTCAATAACCTTGATTATGTGTTAGTCTCTATTTAAAATGATCCTGGATATATTTTAAATAAAAATCAAAAACAATTTTTATGTAATTACATGATTTCAATAATTCTTTCAATACTGTAATCATTAGAAACAAGTTTTTTTATTTTTAATTAACTTTTTTTTTTCAATTTAGAACCATTCTTTGTAGTAAATTAATGTAAACTCCCTGTGAGATTCTGCTATTTTTTCTTCTCGAAATCACCTTTTTCTTTCCCATGAGCCAGGTTATTTCCAAAAATAAAGTAGTTATTTTGAAGAACTTTGTCTTTAAACAGGCATTTTTTTTATTGAAGATAACAATTTTCAATGTGATGTAGTACACCCTTATGTTCTGCTTGCATAAAATGCTAGTCTAATTTTATTTATGATCAGAATCAATTCATGAAGGTTGTTCATAATATACACATCATTATATTTATTTCTTAGGTAGCTTGATGTGCATGTGAAATATTAGCCTCATTTGTTCATAAAGTAATTTCACTTTAGGATGTAATAGCAATACATATGTGTAAAATATTTAAATTTAATGTGTCTGTTGTTTTTCCTATTGCAGGTCCAGAAGCCAAGTTACAAAAAACTGATTAGGTCTAGAATATCAGTGTGTGTGTGTATGGTTGTTTGAAAGTTATTTTAGTGATGGTTACAATTAAAACTTGTTTTATAATCTCATTAATTTCTTTTATGTACTTTGTAGTATTGTTGCATTCTTACCATTTTTTATATTTGAAATGATATAACTCAAGTGTTCAGTTATTGGAAATTTTGTTTTATTGTTGCTTTTGATTATATGTAGAGTTAATTTAAGATTTTACAGGAGGTTATCTTGTTTTTAATTTTAAACTTTTAAATTAATTACTGTTAACCTCTTTTAAGGATTTGTTTTTAAATTCTGACTACAAAGTGTTTTAAGAGGTTTTATGAGATAAAATTTTTGTAAATTCTTGTTTTACATTTCAATGCATTTTATGACCAGATGTTATTATGTACCAGTTTAAATATATTTTAAAAAATACTAAATGAATTATTTGTATTTTCCTTGTTCAAGATTATATATAGACCAAAATAGTTCCTTATTTAAGCAAGTAATTTAGGCTAATAGTCCTGGGAACCAAATCTACAATATCTACTATATGGCATGTTTTCAATAGTATCATATAGTTTTATTTGTGGATCAGGTTGAATGGCAAAAAGGTGAAATAGTACTCACTTGTATTTGTTGATACCTTGAGAGGTTTTGAAGTTGGTAGATACTTTCATTAATTCTAGAAAACATTGATCACACCATTCCTCTACAAGCTGTCTCAGAAACCAATAAAAAAAACTCCTCTACTGTATTAATTAGCAGATAAAATAAATTACTTCCAATAGGAGGAATCATTTGTTTAGACCATAAGAATGATTAGATAATTAATAATAGTTATAAGTATGTGTCATGTTACCAGAACACAACAGGTTCTTCTTTTATTAAATCTCTAGTTATGTCCTCATTATGTATGCCCCTGGCGTGGTAACTTTTTTTACAGTTGTAGGTAAAGTATCCCCCCTTCCAGTTTTACTTTTTGCATGTACTTCTGCTCGACGAAATCACATTACAGTAAATTTTTGTTGGTTTTAAAATACTGACTTGGGTGTTAACATACAAGTTTCACTTCCAACTTATTTTCTCAAATCTAGTATTTAACTGCGTGATTTATACCACTCACTTTAATGTATATACTTAAAAGACTGTTTCCTATATAAATTTATATGAAGTTGATGCAATCGAAGGATTCGCGTGATTTTTTTGGAAGTGTTATTTTTGTTTTTCCCTCCTTAAAATGACGTCACACTCGTAGGGGGGAGGTCCGTAATTTTGTGACGATGTGTGATGAGGGGGGGGGGTTCTGGGGTTGTAAAATTAAATATATTTTTACATATGATTATGAATGTATCATTTATTTTCTTAAGGTCTTTAAATAAATTAGCTACTACTGAATTAAATGAACGTTCCCCCATCCTGCAAACGTCCACAAAACTCAACTTCCTTATGTTTGGACGTCAACCTAAATCCGCCACCTACTGCAAGCGTCCACAAAACTCGAATTCTTTACCCGCCCCTTCCCCCCCTTCTATCCCGCATGGATGTCACAAAGGGATGTGGCTAGAGTTCGGGTCTAAGAATAGAGATTCATTTGGGGTTAAAAGGCTTTATAAAGTTTAGGGTGGGCGCTATGGAATATTGGCTAGTGTTGTTTTGTACATCCGACAGGGCCTTTTTCCAACGGGAAACTCAGTCGCCCAGAGGCGTAGCGACCCTTCCCGGCGCCCGGGGACAAACTTTCGATTTGCACCCTCCCTCGAACTTTTCATCTGCAACCCCCCCCCCCCCCCCTCAAACTTTTCATTTGCACCCCCCCTCGAACTTTTCATTTACACCCCCCTCCTCAAACTTTCAATTTGGCGCCCCCTAAGGTCGGCGCCCGGGGTCATATGTCGTCGTCCCGTCGTCGCCCCCCCCCCCCCCCCCTCACGTTTTGAACAAGCTTTAGATATATAGGCAAACAAAAAAGACAGGCCGAAGAAAAGATGGGAAGCTATTATCAGACGTCTTCAACACTCGAAAATGGACACGAGACAAACTGAGATAGAATGCATAAAACTGACAGCAGTTTTATTTTAGCATGTGCCAAATGCCTTTCTTAATTTCTATTTCTCTAAAGTAAGAGTTCGGCAAAACAAATGACTTGGAAAGCTACTTCAATTCTTAATCGGACAAGTTGGCTTAGAAATGAGTCCGAATTCGGCAAAGACAACTTATTAATACCATCTGCATGGGCAGCACCATTCGTACATTTGCTAAGGGGTCATCCATAAATGACGTCACGCTTTTTTGACGATTTTTACCTCCCCCCCCCCCCTCCGTCACACGTCGTCACAAAAAGCCAGACCCCCCCCCTAAAATGACAGCACACCTCAACCTACAACCCCCCTCAAAATTGCTGTTGAACTTTTTTTAAACATCGATATTTTTCCAAAATCTTGTCTAAACTATTACAATTTATTAAAACAGTTCTCTAAAACGCGAAATAAAGTCTAAAATTCGTTTTCTAACATTGCTTTTGTATAATGCAAAAATGTGACGTCGCAACATCTGAACCCCCCCCCCTTCCCCCTCATACGAGTGTGACGTCATTTATGGATGACCCCCACATCCCAGTGATGAACGGATATGTCATGATTTCGGGACATTGACAGCGGGTTGACCAGTCTATGTTTGAAATGATTCTTGATTCTGGCTATTTGCCGGCCAGTCCGCGGAATGGCTAGGGGTGACCGGCCGAAGTAAAAAATTGAAGCTCATGAGCATGTTTCTATACCGTTATGATCCCTAAATTGGGTCTTTATTAACTATTAATTAAAGTTAATGACAGAAACATTCAAATTATTTTATTTTTCTATATTTTTTAATCTTTATTATCATACGTGTCAACAAGATGAACTTTTATGACATTTAGAATTACATAAAAGATTGGTTTTTTTTTTTTTTTTTACACTTGGAGCGATTTGTTGTGTACAAGGCTGTGTAATACCGCGTTTACACTTACGACAATGTATACTATACATTTCTGGAACACAAAGCCCGCCAAAAATAAATTTTGTCTTGAAAAATTTGTTCACAGAACATGTATACTTTAGCGTTCACACTTACAGAACATGTTATAGAACATTTTATAGCATGACTTTTGACCCGGAGCGTCTGCTATATAGCCGCAATATAGGCCCAGTTAATTAAAATAAAAAGAAATCAAAGTAAAAAAAAAAGATAGTGGGCACACAGTTGTTTTTTTTTCAAAAGGAAAATTGTGTAGCCACGGTGCTTGCGATTCAACAATAAATTATCTAAAAATTAGAGAACTTGCAAGATTTTATAAATTTTATGCCAGCTACTAGAGCTAGACAGTTTTTATAAATATAATACTGTGTATAATACCACGGGTCGTAGACATTGCCCACCTGTTATTACCCCTCCCTCCCATCCCGCAGTACAATCACCCTTTCCCACCCCAACCCCATGGTAGCCATTTCCCCAGCTTCTTTAATTGCTAGTCTATTTCCTTCAGAAACAGCTTCCAATAAACAGGGCTAAATATTTGTTTGCTGAAAGTAAAGGTCCGATTTTCTCCAAAAACTTGCATCTGTCAAGTTCATTAAACGTATTGTGATCGTGTTATCACTATACTGAGTCTATTATTAAGAATAAAAGTAGATCTAGTTTTTATAGTAGGGCCTATGACATCCCCCCCACCCCAATTCGTTTCTTTATGTTAATTATGTCCCATTTTAAACCTAAATAATTAGCCAATAATGACTTTTTTATCTGCCTGTTTTTATAGTAAGTTGATTATGTGTGATCCCACGAGCACATTCTGGTGGGCCTAAAGATTTATTCATGTCAGACGGAAACTGAAAATATGTTGATACACTTAAAACAAAATATTGGTCAAGAAAAAAAATTGGATATACATTTGGTTCAATTATATTTTTAATTAATTAATATTTTCCTAATTAATACCTAAACTGGTTTTAAGGCAAAATTATAATGCTTAGACATTACATTATTTCATTAAAACGTGTTTGGAATTTAATTAAAGAAATAAAAAGAAATGATAAAAATGTAACTTTAGCAGGGCCTAGAGAAATTATAAATTATGAAATCGTGTGCTCAAAAACTCAAAATCATTAGAATCTATATTTAATTTTGCAATCAGCTGAGACCTATGATGCGCTTACTACTTTTGACGCATGTGCACTCATCTGAAAATTTAGAACAGGGGTCTCCAAACTACGGCCCGCGGGCCGGATGCGGCCCGCGATGTCCTCTCATCCGGCCCGCGGAGATCTTTTTGTCAACGGAAAAATCGTTCGTTGGTGATGGCTGAGGAACTTTGCCCAGAGAAATCAAAGACATGCCTGAAAGAAACTGGCCCACGAACTGAAATTTGATAGTTAATGCGGCCCTCGGACTGAAAAGTTTGGAGACCCCTGATTTAGAACATGTCCTATGTTTTCGCTCAGCGAGCGATGACAAAAACTTGACCCAGAACACACAAAGAGGCGTGGTTTTGTGCCCGGCGACTCAGAAGATGTTCCATATACTCGTAACATGTATAGTATACGATTTAGTAGGTCAAGTCTAGTAACATTGTCGCAAGTGTAAACGCGGTGTAACTGCAACGAGTGCAACTGCATTGGCCGCCGGTCAGTGATTGTGAAGGTGCGGTGGTTCGTAGTATTTTTTCCTCAGTGCCGACGGACGACAATGTAAGAATCAAGATTGAAAACTCACTTCTGAAATACAATTGTTTCAAAGCGCTATATTCCGTTCCTAGCTTGCAGGTAGCACCCTCGACAAATATTGCTACTGCAAGGATACTTCGGAGATCACCGCGACCTCTGTCAACATTTGATATACGGGTGCATACATTATCTCCAAGTTCAGCTTGTCTGAATTTTGCATTTGATTTTGTTCGTATCTTACCACATTGAGTTTGCAAGCTAGCTGACCTTTTGTTCGTGATTTCTTGTTTATTGTAACATCATCTGCAAAAAATGTTCCCTCCGTACTCTTCGTCTGCTTTATATTAGCTATTCCACAAACAGCATGGACATCGTTACGACAGGATCCACAAGAATTGATGCAGTACATTCTTTTTCACATACTACACGGTCTGGACTTTACGCCTTGACAGCAGGTTTGTTAGCTGAGGAAACCGTTGCAGTTATAGCATCCTCCATTTCTTGTTTAATGTTCTCAATATCTGCCTCTGTAACTAAGTTATCGACAGCTTCCCAGTTTTGCTGGCGACTGTTGAATTCCTTCATGAAAAGAATGGGTTTCCATTAATTGAATGAATTTGATGACACTCAGCCCAGCGGGCTGATTCGTCTGCATTAATGTCATCATCATGTTATAACAACCTGGATGGCATGTTCAACTAAACCTTGGCTATGCTTTGGTTCTTCGTGTTCAGGCCACATTTTCTTTAGTTCACGTCTAACTTGATTCGCAAATTATCCTCCATTATCTAATCGAAACACGCTTGAGGCAACAGGCAATGGTCGTGAAGATATACAGCTGGTAAGCAACGTTTGCTCTTTTGATTTTCAAAGCTTGCAGTGATATGAACTTGGTAAAATAATCCTGGCAACTAAGTTTAAAAATAAGGACCACTCGTATAGCAAAAAAAAAAATTTTTTTTTATCAAATAATGAAATAGATTCCACCATAAAACATTTGAAAATGTGTGACTTTTCACCCCAAGCATGTGACTTTTTGATCCCGCACTTGGGTAAAATGTCACAATTCTAAAGCACCATTTTGCAAGTATGTCATGGGCATACCGTGAATAGTTATTCCAAACGGCTCTGCATAGAGTTATCTGAAATGTGGAACTAGTATCTGGTGCATTGGCATTGTTAAAGGTTCACAATTCTTGTCTCCAAAACCTAAAAAGTTAAATTTGTGACTTTTCACCCATCCTCTCCTATATATATATATATATATATATATATATATATATATATATACATCAGTGGTCCTTATTTAACGGAAATTTGATTTTTCAACGAGGTACCACAAAAATTCCATTTGGTGAATACTATTCAGATGGGGTTATATTTAGGGGTCGCTACCAGGGACAGAAGACTTCGCATTTAAGGGGGAAGGCTCCGGTAAAAAAAACTTTTTTAATACTCGTTAGAAAACAGTTATTTCTTTACAGCTTTATTAAGATACATCCGCATATGCTTTTCCACTAAAAAATTTTTTTGAAAAAATCTTGGTAACTATGACAACGGCGGCCATCTTGAAAAATTAACCCCACCGTAGGTTTTCCACCATTCACAAAATATTACATTTTAAGCCCAATAAACAGTCAATTCATAATCTTCTTCCATATTTTGGGGCAATCAGCTAAAAATTTTAAGTGCATATCTTCAAACTAATTTTTTATGAATTTTCAAAATTTGTGTCCGTTCAAAACACTAGTTTTAATGCCCCAAAATTCCCCAAAGTTAAATGTTTTGAACGGACACAAATAAAAACGTCGAGCATAGAATTTTTTGGTACTAACTTTCATTTTTTTTAACAAACTTTTTTATTAATATTAATTTAAATTTTACTTATTTTTCAAATTTTATTTACAAAAAAATAGAATTCATATTCTTGGTTAGTAAGCCTATACTATATATAAATGCTTTTTAAAAAAATATTGAATAACATGTTTATTCCTATCTTTCTACAATTCTAGAGTTATTCATTTTTTGAAAAATGAACACGCTAAAGTTTATTCAACAAATGTTAATTCTTACATGAAACAGTTAAACAGCACGCTAAATCGTGCTTTAAACTTTAAGTTTAAATAAAATATAAAATTAAATATTTTAAGGCCCAGATCTAGATCTATAATTATTGAATGGGTTCCTGTGTGTTTCGGCGGGTTTGTATAGATACGGCATGTAGATTGTACTGATGAAAGTATTTCCGCACGTGGTGGTCTTTGCAAGAGTATTGATGCGAAACACAGGCACCTGTCAAAATGTTGGTGTTGTTTGAATCCTCAGCGGGCTATGCTTTGTTTAAGGTAATTGATCTAATAGGTAAAAGTAAAAAACAAACTAAAGCATCATAAATGAGTTCAATCTAGATTTTAGGCCTATGAATCAGACATAATTTTTTTGCGACCGGTTTTAAAAGTTGTCCACATGGCCGTCATGGCTGCAAGAAAAGCATGGCATGGGTGATGCTGTGGCAACGAAATGATTATCTGGAATATAATCTAGATCTAGCTACTCTAACATATTTTATCTGCTGTTATTATAATTGAACAGGGTAATCTATCGTTTTAGCGTAATCAATTCGGCTGCAGTAGTAATGTGCGGGAGAGGTAACTGATGAATATATTTGTTTAAATAAGTATATTTAAGTCAAATTTTACAAAATATAACAGATACTTGATTAAAAATAACAATCAGTGACCAAAACAATTTAAAATATCATGGAACTAACTTTAAACTAGGTGTTTGAGATAAATATTAGTAGATAAAAACAGCGGCCATCTTTCCAAATAAAATTTAGAGTAGTTTCCCTTGATATAAATGTCTATTCGTATGTATATTGTGTTGACTTTGTTGTTTAATACACATAGTTGTCTTGTTTAATATAAGTAGGACAGAGGGCCATCTTCTTATCTTTAATTTCAATTGAAATGAAGGCTATGTATGTATGTACATCCAAGATCTCAAAAACTTTTGGGAGGTCCATCATTTATTAAACCCTTTTGTACTGATGAACTTGTCAATTATTAGATCGTCCATATTCTTCATAAATGACGTTGGACTGAAAATATGGGAGGGGGTAAAATAATTCTTTTTAAAATGATGAAGAATATATTCGTTTTCGTTAGAAATTGTGATCACGCGTTCGGGTATAGTAGAACTGCGATATGATATTAAATCATCATCTTGCTTTTAGTGACGATTGGGGGAAAGGGAATTCATCGGGAAAAGTATGACGTCATTTATGGACAGGACCGGCGCTACCTATAAGGCGAACTAGGTTGTCGCCTAGGGCGCTGTCCGTAGGCGGGGGGGGGGGGGGACGGGCGCCAAAATGGGTTGGAAAACAAATTAAAAGTTTGAGGGGGGGGGGTGCAAATCGAAAGCTTGTCCCCGGGCGCCGGGAAGGGTCACTACGCCTCTGGTAATACGGGGGCATGAAAAAAATTGCAGATGGGGGGCGCTTTTATTAACTAAATAACCTGGCGCCGGCACTGTTTATGGGTGATCCATTTAAGCCTATTTGTTTATTTTGTCTGTAGACATTAGTCTTAGGCCTGCACTTTTTCTGAATTAAGATTATTGTGTTTATAAAAATAGTTTTAAATTTTAATTAGTTACATCTGAATACCACATGGGTTTTTTTCTTTGCCTTCTGCTTTCATCAGTTTTTTTATTTGTTCAATAGTCGATGTTTACCCCTCCCCACCATCCATTATTACAAAAACAAAAAACACCCACTATATAGTGATATCTCCCTATAGAAAAAAAACCTAGATCAACCTATAGTTCGTAGGAAAATTAGAATCTATCACTTATTCGTCTGTTAAAAAAAAAGAAATACGTCATTTTTCTCAACCACGCCGTTTCATCCCCCACTTAGCACAACGTCACCAAGTTCGCGGCGCGCGTGACGTCATTTGTCATTAGGCTAATGTTAAAGAAAGAGATACCGCGTAATTAAAAAAAAAGTCAAAACAGGCACTATTGCGTTGAGACTTTAGCGACGTTTAGTCTGACGAATAGATCTAAATGACTTTAGTACGGTATATTATATTGGTGTTTAATTTATTACAGTGGCATGCTGTGCTCCCTCTACTACACAAATTCACGTGCTTTTAATTTCTGCAACATGCTGCCCTGAGACGTTCGGCTCTAAAATGCCCGTGACACAGCGGCTTCGATAAATCCATTTAGGCTCCCGGTCCCACCTATACACTTCGTCTGCCCATTAAGCTCCACGCAAAACTTGTGATTGATATGTGGACATAAGCGGCGCTAGTGGTGGTGTCAACAGGGACCCCCTCCCCTCCCCAAGCTCAGCTCTTAAAGGTGCTCCGCACTTTATAAAAGACAAACTAGATGTTCAGACATCGTCGGACTCGGGCGTTTAGCCGACTGCCGTATTCCTAATGCACCGTCCACTGCTAACACTATTTCTATATTAAACTCAAGCCTATACTGAGCTCTGGCTTTTTACATTAGCTGCTGTCGTATTAAGGGTTAATCTTTTGTTATGCCCCATGTCGCGAAACTTGCTGTTTTGTCCAATTTTACCTGCAAGCCAATAATTGTCTTGGATTCTTGTCGAATATGGTTGCCAGAAGCTAGTTGGTTTGAGCCTTATTGTCAGAAGTTATTTCATTCGGAGTCAATGTAGTGCGGCCTATTTTCGTCGGTAGGCATTTTTAGTGGCAGGCCCTTTTTGGCGGGGATGGTGTGCTGAGGTTGTTTAACACCGCTTAGGCTTGCAATAGTTATCAAAGTTATGATCATTCGTTGTGAGCAAAGGTATGCATAAAAACGAACGCTTTATGTTCCTCATTTTCATTGAGCACAGCTTTATAGAAGTCTTCCATAATTGACGTCACTCATCCCCCCCTCCCCCGATCACCCCTTCATTATAGGTCATAAATTGCAGTCCTACGTAAATTGACGTCACATTAGAATAGCATATGTGACATCGTTTATGGACAACCCCATATTTCTCATTTTGGATATTTGGTATCAACATTTTGACAACAAAGGTTGTTCAAAATGTGTATTGGAGGTTAGGACTTGACATCTACCATAAATGACATCACGCACTTAAGGGGTGGAGTAACTGGTTTTGAGACGACGTTTTACGCAGGAAAGGGGAGGGTTAAGAAATGTGAAACGTTATGTATTTGGCCTAATACAAAAATGCTGAAACAATTCTTTTTCGTTCGAATTATGGCTTGTCTTTTTAACAGTAATAACAGGCAGGGCAAAAAGGTAATTTTCGACATTACGACTAGAAAATCTATTTCGTGACGGCAAAAATGGGGGGGGGGGGTTAAGGTGAAGAGATGTCAAAAAACATGACGTCATTTATGATTAAATCACTAATTAAAGGAAAAAAGCATGAAAATATGAAATGACAATAGCAAACAAACAATAACACAAACAATAACAATTAACTCAAACTAATATTTAAATAAACATTAGATATGTAGTGGTAGCTATATAAAAATAGGGAGTTTCTTAATGTATAAAAATTGCATCTCATAATCTATAATAATAATAATTCTAGAACTGATGTTTATTGTCAGTCAATCAAAGTTTAAATTGTTTAAAGGGCAGAATTTAAATAAAAAACGCATGCTTTGTATTTAAACACAAGACAAACGTATTTAATAGCAAACATCAATACATTTCCATACAAATAGAAATTAAAGGGAAATGACTCAAAATAATATTTTCTTAAGATGGCCGCTGTTTTTAATAGCAAATTTAGTTTCTGGAACATCGTTGTTAAACCTTAATTTCATGACATTTTTATTGATTTAACCCTTAAATATGGTTTAATATTCAATTATCTTTAGTATTTTAGTAGAATATGCAAAAATATTTTCACATTTAAGCCATATTTATTAGTTACCTTATCCCTACATTACTAGTGACGACCGAATTGATTACGCTAAAACGATAGATTACCTTGAACAGATCTAATATAGTCTAGAAATCTAGATTCTAGATCCTGATTGAATCAGTGATTCTAGACTTCAAGACAAGATCTAGTTAGTCTCATATAAATTCAATTTTCTTCAAATTATAAAAAGAATAGCATATAATTGTAGAGCTTTAAAAATGCAATCCAACAGTACCAATTTTATTAATTTAGCATAATCGGTTGATTAAATATAATTTTTTTAGTGTCGCAAATAAAATATATAGAAACGCGACCAAAAACGCAGGTAAAAAGTCAAATTCACTTGTTTTAAAGCTAGAGGAGTTTACACTTTTCGGACACACATAGCGAAAAAACGCAACGTAAAAATTCCATGCGGTCTCATTCAGTAACCGCTTAACATAGAAAACAAAAAAAAGTATCATATCTATCCGCAACCATTCTACTTTAATAATGTGTGTGTCATTTTGTATTCATACGCATAGAACTTAAGCTATTCTTGTTATAGTGACTGGGGGGTCTTAACGTGTGTTCGAACACATGTAATACAGTTTTACATGTGTTCGGACACCTTTACCCGTCATCGGACATAGCACTTTTTGTTCATTTAGAATAATTTAAAGTCAATTTAATGAATAAAAACATATATGCATTTATATTGTGTTATTGATTGTTTGTGAGGTAATTTTAATAGTATAAAACCTTTTTCCCACACTCCCAAAGTTCATCCCATTCAGCCATTGCGGCTCGCGCAGTACGCTGCTAAGCCAGCCAGGTCACATGATTCCCCCTCCTCTTTCGCATTCCACTGCCTTCTTGACCTTATTTTGACCCTTTCCCTTCAATAACCAGCCCCTTTTATGCTCTAAATTCTTATTTAATAATATTTTTGTGTTGCTGTCCGGTCCCATGTAAGGCCAAATAAGTTAGCGAACACCCCTTTTTTATTGTTCAAGCACAAAAAAACCCATTAACCTTGACATTTACGATGTTCCATACATATATAGAAGCTATTTATAGTGTAACCTTTTAGCTAAGCATTGATTGGTTCAAGTTTTGCCCCTAAGTCCAACCCTAGGTCACTTCATCCGGCTGGTGTAAAAATAGAAATGTGCGTACCATGCAACGTTAAAAAATTTCTAAAAATAATTCTTGAGAAAGGAAACGGAAGTACTTGACACGGAAGTGTTCATAAATGAACAGTTTACGTGCAGGCGCCGTGGTTTCGCGTGAGACATGCTAATTAAAGTTTCTATGAGCCAAAAACCGACGAAGTGTTCGCTCCTACGTAATTTTTGGTGTGTGTCCGAAAAGTGTAAACTCCTCTAGTAAGCAAGAAAAGACATGATTCTTTCTTACTATTGAAATCAGTTT